TTGACAGGACATATCCTATATCCGTCTGACTTCTAATTACTTGCCTTTTTATAACAATTATTACTAAAATTTATTACACCCAGCGATGTTAGTAGATTATAAAAGTCTAAGAAATAGCACATAATAATATGTTCAGCTTTCCAAAGAACTCTTAATGAAGCTTTTAATCGTTGAGTGCACTTGCGTCCGATTAGCATTGATAACAATCGGATATTACATTGAAAGGTTAAATTACACTAATTGTGTTTTATGTTTTTAAATAGGCGAGACTCACCTAATTAGGCAGGCTGAGTATATTGACACTGCGTATAGCGTACCTGTAAATAAAAAAATATATTAATGAAGAATAATAATTAATATAATAAAAATGGAAGAGTGGTGCTTTTTTTTTATAGAATACGATTGACAAACGAGTACACAGTCCACATGATGGTAAGTGGATGCTGTGGCCCATAGATATCTATATTTATGCTCGATTAAGAATTAAAACGCGGATGCGTTGTCACCCCTGAGGACTAAGATGAAATTAAACTGGAATGGAAAAAACAGTAAAAGAGGGTTTCCGGATCTCTACACTTACCATACGAAACACAGTAGTATTAAGCTACCATTTCACGCTGGAATTCTGTGAGAGCGTGGTCCTTTCCGGTCGTGGCTCCACCACGTATTCTTTATTCTTAGCACAGGGAAGATTATTTGCTTAAAAGGAAGCTCCAATAATTTAAAATTGTATTAGGCTAATGGCCAAATACTCAAACGCTACTCAATTTCAAGATATCGTTAAGTATCGTGGTCTCCCAGTCATTTTAACTTAAAGTGATAGAGATAGCACGAGACTTAACGACACCATAAAATTGAGTAGCGTTTTAGTATTTGGGCATAAGTTACCGCAATAAATTATTAGAACATGTTTGTGTTAGTATAAAGTTTATGTAAATGTAATATGTGTAACCTTTAATGTAATAACACCCGATGCATCTGCATATTTTTTTAGGTCGCAAGCTTTTGACAGATCATGTCCGCCATATTTATTTTTGGGTGACTCCAAAAAAGGAGGTGGTTCTCAATTCGATTTTATGTTTTTTGTTCGTATGTTACACGATATCTCGGTCAATTGTAAACCGATTTTTAACGATTTTAATTTCGATATTTTTGAGAAAAAGCACCAAATATATGGGGTGAACTTTTTAAAACTATTTAGATGACATTCTACCGTTGCCATTACAGGCTATTAAAGTCCACTGCTGAACGCGTGCCTCTTCCATAGATTACCTTATAAGGGGGATATTTGCCATAGCTGCCACGCTTGGCAAGCGTGTTGGCAACCGCTAGTTTTTTTATATTTTAGTCGTTATTAAGAAGACGCTGCTGCATATCTTTTGATTTGTTACCCTCTGTCGCATCTTACGACACCCACGAGACGATATGGTATACTGGATATCCTTACACTGCGAATACACCGTATATTGTGTGTTATAATGACATTCTAGTTGTGATATTATTCCTTGGTCTACTCGAAAGGGTTAAAATTTAATAAAAAGTAAAACCAAAATCAAATAACTAAATACAATAAAGTAATTGCACATAGTAGCTTATAAGGGTGACAAACGAGCACACAGTCCACCTGATGGTAAGTGGATGCTGTGGCCCATAGACATCTACATTTATCCTTGATTAAGAATCAAAACGCAGATGCTTTGTCACCCCTGAGAACTAAGATGGAATGCCTGTTTCCAGTACAAAAGTCCAGTACACTATATGAAACACAGCAGTATTAAGCTGGTATTTGTAAGAGCGTGGTCCTTCCCCGGTCGAGCCGACCCATTCGTGCTACAACCATAATATAGCTGCAGCGTGCTTCTACCACATATAAAAGTCGCTTGTGAAGTCCGGGCTTTAATTTTTATATACAGTGTGTTTTACTACCGACTTCCGAAGCTATTATGTAAAATAATTTATTCTTTTTAGATCTGTGAAGTCCGCTTTTTCCTTTTTACCGTTGCCGTTACAGTCTATTTAAGCTACTGCTGAACATAGGCCTCTCCCATAGATTGATTGTAAGGGGGATATTTACCATAGTTGCCAAGCGTGGCAACTATGGTAAATATACCATAATATCCTTTTTAATAAAAGTTTAATACTGTAATGAAAATGTAAAGTCGTATGTTAAATATGTAATTATAGCATATTATTTGAAGAAATAATATAAGATCTCATCAATACGACGATTAATGGTTACACGTACATACGTACCAACCAAAAATTACTCCCATATCGAGCACCGCACTTGCAGCCAGGTTGACCTGTGCCAGGATTTGTTGAGCGTTTGATAAGATTAGGATAGCAGGGAACAGCATTAAGTTATTTATTAAACGTTATTTTAATCTTATTTTATTTAGTTGTTTCTTACGTTTATTACTTTCCGTAGTTTACGCGTGGTTTGAACACCTTGAAAAAAAAAGTTACTGAACGAATTGCACACATAATCGCGTAAAAAAATCTTCGAAAAAAATTAAGCTAAGAGCTGTAAAGGGGACAGGGTGAACGAGTGAAATGGATAGAATTAATAACGGTGGGAGATATAATAACTGTTATCGCCAAAACTACTAGTGGAATGATAGCATTCGATAACATTGCTTTAAATAAAACAAGCTAAGGTACAGTCGAATCGAAATTTAAAATGATATGTTTTACGTGGAATGCATCGTTTCCAGTCAAAAGGGTATCCGGTTCTCTACACTCACCATAGGAAACACAGCAGCATTAATCTGTTATTTTAAGCTGGCATTCTGCGAGGGCGTGGTCCTGCCCGTGGTTGAGCCGACCCATTCGTGCTGCAACCAAAATATAGCTGCAGCGTGGCTCCACGACGCGAAAAACTCGAAACGACGGGAATATAAAATAAATACTGGATGACCTTTTTTACCATCTGCAAAAAATATATGGTGTAACATGTGAACAGAGTAGAAGCCGATGGCACTGATATTTTACAAAAAATAAAAACAAACATTTTGAGTAAAATAAATATATTAATTAAAATCCATCGAAATTCAAATCATATCCACCCAGGCATCTTTGACCTTGTCACTTCGCAGGGCCACAGGCTCAAGGGCAAAGGGCAAAGTAATTGTTCAAATAATTTTTTTCAAACGTTTAATTCAAAATGCTTGTTTTTATTTTTAGTAAAATATCAGTGCCATAGGCTTCTACTCCGTTCACATTTTACACTCTATTTTTTTTCCAGACGGTAAAAAAGTTCATCCAGTATGAGTCTCTTTAGGGCGGTACATAGTAATACAGGGCAATAATGCTAGGACCGCATCTGCGTCTATCGCCACAAAGCGACACGATACACGCAGATATGACCGGCTATTATCGGCTATCGTCACGAACATTCGGGCTGGGTGTGTTATCGCACGGGTGGCGGTACATCAAAGGGTTTTAGCGCATCAACATATCGCGCTGCCTGGTCAGACTAGCGTTGTTCATTTCGGCCGTTGTTTTCGATCAGTTCAGACGCATGCAGGTGGCTGTGTAAAAATGGAGCGGAGTGATGAAATGGTACTGGAATTCCTTTTTTTTTAGATTTTAGGTGTCTTCTTTTTAGATTTTAATAAATGCATTATGTGATTGTTTGTAAAAGTAAAGAAATTCGTCGTCCTTAGTTAAACGTTTGAAAATGATTTCGGTCATCTAGGATTATTTCACGATAGTCATTGATATAGATTTTTTGTATATCAATGACGAGACGTCATGCAAAATATCGAAGCCGCTAATATGATGATAGCTTTTTATCGCGATAACTTTTTAGTGTCAAAACGTACGAAACTTCGGCACGCATTACTTCGGGACGATACACGCAGGTGCAGTCGAAGCATAAGACTAATACACAATCAATACATAACAATATATACTCAAGAAACTAGTACAGGGACTAGCCACATAACAATATATACTCAATAAGCTAGTACAAGACAGGATTACAATGCCAGAGTGCACTCTTTATTCCCTCACTCTCATATTCCAATGGGACGTTAATCCGTCACGACCGGCTAGAGATGTGTTTTCCGAGGCACTAGTGTGTAACACCTCCATCTTTCTGACTTCAGGCTGCTATTGAGAATTTCTTGTCAAATAAAATTCAATCATTGATTTGGATCCGCCCCGGTATTCAAAACCGGAACCTCAAGATCATCAGACGCGTTAATGACAACTAGACCAAAGAGGCAGTCACAGGCTAGACGTGTTATCGAAATACTCGTTAAGAGGATACCTTGAAAATTAATCGAAGTTTTGGGGGCGTGGCTTATTCCTTTGTCGGTGAAGCTAACGGACGACTGCGGAAGTGTCAAAATGAAAGTGATGCAATGACTTCATAGTACGCAAATTATGAGATAGCCATACCGAGCAAGCGCTCGGAAAAAAACTAAGTAAGCGCCAAACAACATTTTTATTAATTTTAACAAAACTTTGTTATGGATTAAAAAACTGGTTTATGAGAACTTAGATATGATTATTTACTATGCTTTAAAAATGATTCCAAATTATTCGTAAAAATATTGTGGTGTCATCAAGAAATGTAAATAATTAGAGCCTACTTTGCAATTTTTTTCTATCGAGTAAATTACATGATATCGTGTTTTCCTTTTATGCAAACCAAGGTCATATAGTCAAAAGTCATATACCAAAATTTTGGTTTGTAATCTATAAAACATAAAAAAATATGTTAAATAGAAAACCACCAAATTTTCGAGGTATCACTTTAATGTAGTGTGTTTCGAATACCAACTTAAAATGGATTTTGTGTGTCAGTATACTAGTACAGTGGTCGTTATACAACCGTCCCAATAGTACAGTTTTTATGCTTGAGAAGGTCAGTAGATTTTTTATAGTTGGATAAAGCTCCACATAAATATTTGTAATTAGGTTAAAATCGACGTACACGTCAAACATCCCGTTTCAAATTCTTAAACGTGAAAATAAATTTAATTTAAATTGTTATGAAAACAACACATTGGTTACCGATATGGCTGACTTTCAAATTTTCACTCACAGTCCTATCTCTTACAACGGAAAGTAACTTAAATTCTGCGGATTACAATTCCACGAAAGCCTTATTTGAATTCAAAGATAATGATGGCACAGAAGATAGCGAAGATGAAGAGGATATTGTCTTCACTAAAAGTGGGCCGATTCAAGGTTATATATACAAAGAAACGAATAATATTATAAGATTTTATGATATACCTTATGGATCAATCAATGCCGTAAATCCGTTTCAGGTAAGCGATATTTTACTTTACAGTTATGATCAAAAACAAAAAAGAACTTGAAACATACAATAGTCAAGATAAAAGTAGAAGTAAACTTTTTTTACGAAATAACAGTTTATGAGGAAATTGTTAACCGATTTTAAGTCTAGAATCACTACTTGTACGTCGGTCAAGAAAAACATCTTGAGGAAACCGGCATGTTTGAATTATTATAAATATTTGGAAGACTTGTGAAGTTTGCTTATAGGAAATAAGTGCCACTGAAACAATACCCACCAGATTATAAATTACTACCCAGTACAGCCCAGATTATTATTATATATATACAGTGTGTCCGGTCACGGACTAGCGATATTCTAGGTACTTATATAATACAGCAATTTTAATACAAAAATACACTACAAACTGAGGTCTAATCCCCTCCCCCCTCTATGTGACAGCCATTTATAGTTTTCTTCTAATGAGATATTCTCTACGTGTTTACAAAAATATTCATATCTCTCAAAGTTTTGGTCTTACTGAGATAAAAACTAGCTCATTCGAAGGATAACAATATTGTCTATCGTTTCAGCTAGCAAAAAAATTGTTCACATACTCGTATCTTTAAAGAAAAATAAAATTTACTTCAAAAAAATCAAAAATTATGCTAAACGGCAAATTATTCTAAATTACTGCAAAAACAACCCCGTTTACCCTTTTTATTTTTTTACTCGGTCGACAGATTTTGTGTTAAGCTACAATAAAACATAAAATTTACAGCTGTGTGTTTATTACTTTAAGAATTATTGTTGTTTGAACATAGCGTATGCGCAAACACAAAAGGCCTTTGTTTAGTGACAACTGGCACTACCTGCCTAGGAGTAGTAGTGTTCTGTGCTACCTGCTCTCGAATTGATGGAATGATGTATTCCATTCAAGAGCAGGCCGAAAATACTGTTAGCTACTAGCAAAAAAAATCCAGTTTGACAGTTGATTAGTTAAATTAATTGTCCCTCGCCCTGCGTTGTTATCGCTACTTTCACTTATTTTCCGTGCTGTTTACATGCTATATTACTGTTTATCGTTAAGAGTGTGATACAAATATGGCAAATCATCAATATTTAGCGCAACATATTGCCGACATACACTTGGTGTATGGCTTTTGCAATGGAAGTGCAAATCGAGCTGTACAAGAACATCGACGAAGGTACCCTAACAGGCCTACACCATGTCGCCAAACTTTTGTTAACGTGCACTCGAGACTAGCGGAAAGGGGCATTCAAACTACTGTTAATGGACATGCTCGTTTGGTATCGCCCGAAGATGAAGAAGAAGTGCTTAGGCTAATAACAAGTAATCCCAGACTAAGCGTTCGACGGATGGCACATTGCAGGTGGCACATAGAGCTTTAGCTTGTCTACAAGCTTGAGGTGGCCACTTTGTGCAACTTCTTTAGATATTTAAATTGTAGGTCAATTATGTATAACATTTAAATATAAACTATAATAAAGTAACTTTAGCAGCGCCAGTTGTCACTAAACAAAGTCCTTTTGTGTTTGCGCATACGCTATGTTCAAACAACAATAATTCTTAAAGTAATAAACATACAGCTGTAAATTTTATGTTTTATTGTAGCTTGACTCAAAATCTGTCGACCTAGTAAAAAAATAAAAGGGATAAACGGGCTGTTTTCGCAGTAATTTACAATAATTTGCCGATTAGCATAATTTTTTGATATTTATCTGAAGTAAATTTTATTTTTCTTTAAAGATACGAGTATGTGAACAATTTTTTTGGTAACGGAAACGATAGATAATATTGTTGTCTTCGAATGAGCTAATTTTTATCTCAGTAAGACCAAAACTTTGAGAGATATGAATATTTTTGTAAACACGTAGAGAATATCTCAAGAAGAAAACAAAATGGCTGCCACATAGAGGGGGGAGGGGATTAGACCTCAGTGTGTAGTGTATTTTTGTATTAAAATAGCTGTATTATAAGGACCTAGAATATCGCTAGTCCGTGACCGGACACACTTTATATATAGGTTTTGTCCATCATCAACGCCAATTTGTAATATTTATTATTGGATGTAAAACTATCCAAACCAACAAGGTTTACTGCTATCGCCCGGCTGTGGGTAGACCTTCTTTAAGTGACATACAAGATAGTCCCGCCGATCTAACCTGATCGAAAACAGCTGCAACACAGATGCGTTATCACTTCATAGGATTAAGATGTAATGCCTTACAGACAGAAAATTCTTTGTAAGATAGACCCTGTTCTACATTACCAATTTTTATATTTTCCATATGGTAATTTTCGAGGTGATTTTTTAACAGAGTTTTACTTAAAAGGAAAGGATTTGCATCATTTTGACGACCTTTCACAACAACTGATATTTTATAAGCACGTAATTTTTATATATTTAGTTAATCATTAGGTTATTTTAGATTTAAATAGAGTAGAATTAGTTCAGATTTATTCAAATCTAAGCTAACTTATTTAATCTTACAATTCTGTAATTATAATTGGAATATTTTAGGAACCGTCGCCATCAGAACCATGGAAAAATGTTCACAAAAATAAAGAGCACAAGTCACGGTGTCCTCAAATCGAACATCCTGATATATTTGTAGGCAATACTGACTGTTTGACTCTTAATATTATGGTACCAATACAGGCAAAAAATTCAGGTGTTTTGTTTCACATACATGATGGAAGTTTAAATAATGGCAGCGGTAATCCAAATATTTATGGACCGGAGTACCTAGCTCCTAACGGTGTTATATTGGTCCTTCCTAATTATAGACTAGGTCCACTTGGATTTTTGTGTTTGCGAAATGATACTATACCAGGCAACGCAGCTCTTAAAGATTTGACTTTAGCATTAAAATGGATAAAAGATAATATAGCAGTATTTGGAGGAAATCCTTTAAATATTGTCGTAAGCGGAGAGGGTAATGCTGGAGCATTGGCGGGATATTTAGCTGTATCACCCTCATCAAGAGATTATATCTCAAAAGTTATCACAGAAAGTGGTTTTATTCTATCTCACTGGGCTTTAGATAGGGATCCACTTACCACAGTAAACAATCTATCACAGAAAGTTAATTTTCCTATAGCCGCAGTAACAGCAGAAAACGATGAATTTGAAAATTATAATTTAGCGGCATTAATACTTGCAGCGAAAGATATGAAATTTGCTCCTTGTATAGAGATTGGAGAAAAATCTTTTATAACCGAAACTCCTTGGACTTTACTAAATAGTTTAAAAACAAACATTTTTTTTATGATAGGTTCCGCGAATCATGCTGGTATGCAAGAAGCATTACAACACACAGAAAACAGTTTATCAGAACTCGATAAAAACTTTGGTGTCATTTTGCCCGATGATTTAGATTTTCAACAGAATAATGAGAAAAAATCAGAAGTTGCAAATAAACTAAAAGATCAATACTTCGGCAACAAGACTGTCACATTAGATACAGTACAAGAACTCTCATTGTGTTATACGGATGCTTCGTATTTAGGGCCAATGATAAGTGCTACTAGATCCTTAGTGGCAGCAGGAGCCCAAGTGTATTTCTACGAGTTTGCTTATGTGGGAGATTTGAATCAAGAAATACCATCCTCGATCAAGATACATGGAGCATCCAGAGGGGACAGCGCCAGATATGTATTCCGTTACGAAGGAAAAATCCCCAGTGATGATACAAAAGAAAAATATATGGCCGAATTCATGGCAGAATTGTGGGCGAGCTTCGTTGTTGCTGGGTAATAATTCTTTATCATAATAATATTTTACCCTACCATTGTAATTGGGTTGTTTCGATGCATTATTGCAACAATTACTAAATATTTAAAATATTCTTATAATACGCAATGTAGCGTACTAAAGAATTACCTGCCTACTTAAACCGCAGTATCATAATAAATTATTTTATATTTTGCAGTAAACCAAGAGCGGAGAGAATAGAGTGGAAACCAGTAAAGCAAACAGAAGAGGCCAATGAAAACTGGTTTTTTATAGGTTCTGAATTTATGCTACAAAGAGGAATACACGTCGACCGCCTGAAGCTATGGAACGAGATATATGGATTGTATTTCGTTGAGCATAATCGCGCTTTGGTTGTTACCCCATACGTATATTCCCTTGCGTACACCATGTTTTTGTTTATTTGTTTATCGAAAATATTAAATTAAGAGTTTATTACAAAGATCCGTTTTCTCACATTATTTCAATGTAGGCGTGTACTGTATTTACACCAATTTTATATCAGAAAGTGAAACACATATAGCACAACTTGATAAATTTAGTTATTCCAGCTTAAAATGAATGTGTTTGTGCCACATATACTTAGAAGACTCTGTTAAATTCTTACAATGATAAGTATAGTTTAAGCCACGTACCAAGCTATTTGTCGCAAGCATTATTAATTATTAAATTGTAGTTAAATAAAATTGTGTGTTATTTCCCACCCATCGGTTTTAGGACGTCGTAAGGCTTCACACGTGCGATGTTTAGGTTAGACAGCCGGTTGTTATGATAACAGAGATATCGTAGATGGTAAAGAAACATTAGCATTGCATACAAGCATTAGACGATTCATTCTTGTAATAATCGGACTTATGTGAATAAAAAAATTATTTTTAATTAACACTTCAAAAATTACATAGACAATGTGTACCAGGTGAACATGAGACTCGCGGCGTTGTTACATATTTTGTTATGGCACTGTGCGACTGGACGTTCTCCTCTGCAGTCCACGAGGCCGCATCGCGATGTTGTGACGACGCAAGGTCGGGTAAGAGGCTACCTCTTCCCGAACCCACCCCACTATGCCTTCCTGGGCGTCCCTTACGCCCGCCCGCCCACGCGTTACGACAGGTTTAAGGTCAGCCACTTTATTTGTTGTTATACACAAATCTAATTTACTTAGAGGTGTAGAGATCCTTATCACTGTTAATTAATGTTGCTACGAACGACGTGCTTTTTTTTTAACACAACTTTGTTATTAGTATGGTTGTACTATTACTGTAGATGGGACGAATATGGATTTAACTGAATACGAATGTTCGGCCAAAAGTTCAGTATAACTTTTACCGAACCGAATATTCGGGCGAACATTGTTCGGCAGGATCATCTCGGTACCTAATCAATTTTGTCGAAACTTGTAACCGTAAAGCGCGCGGGATCAGCACCGGACCCTGGCCCTCCGCTCCCACGCTATACCTGTTATTGCATCATCTAGTAATAATAATGTCCTCCAGACCGAATTCCGGCCACGGCGACCTGCCTCAACGGAGGCTAGCCATCGGCACAGGACAGTATTATAGTGCCCAAGTGTATGAGCAAGCACAGGTACACTCTCTATTCCCTCACTCTCATAACCCGATGGGACGGTAAACCGACACGACCGGAGAGATATCAGGAGCAGGACCAACGGCTTTACGTGCTTTCCGAGGCATGGGGGTGAGACACCGCCAACTTCCTGAATCTTGAACTCTTGAACTACTGAGAATTTCTTGACGGAAAAACTCAATAATTAATTTTTTGGCCCGACCAGGGATTCGCACCCAGAACCTCATGGTCAGCAGTCGCACTACTACAACCACTAGACCAACGAGGCAGTCATCGTCATAGAAGAGGCATCATCTAGTACTGCACAAATTGCCAGCACATGCTTATGTTTTGACTATTTTTGTGCGAAAAAAAGCATTTTACTCACAAGCAGAAAATTTATAATTACCTATATGATAAAAATGAGTGGCAGTAGATCTACTATTTGGACTTAATTTGGAGAAACTGACGACTAAAGTAAAGTGAAATGTATTAATGTAATGTAATGTTTCTTTGTTTGATTCCAAAAGCATTTTATCAAGCTATCTATGCTAAAATTGGAAATAGACAAGTAGTTTTAACACATAAATAAAATAAACTTTTAACAGTAATATTGTGAAAGACATGGCACTACTCGATTCGTACATTTCAATACAGTGGACAATTTCAGTACCACTTTAACGAATGTTCGGTGATTTAGTCCAAGCTGTCAAATATGCCGAATACCGAATATGAAACGAATATTCGGCCCATCTCTAACTATTACTAGTTTCTAAGACCTAAGGTTAATTTTTTTCCCTCCAAGTGTTAATAGTAACAAGCCAATGTTATTTAATGGAACATAAACCCCATCACGACCGTTTTATACGGATATTTAGATATTTTATTACGGTTACCTCTATTTATTTATAAATATATGTGACATAAAAGAAGGAGTACGCTGATGTTATTTCATCGCCGTCTATATATTTAACAATGATCAAACAGAGAACGTTATGTTTACCATAATCCATCATATATGCAAACAAATTCGCAGGTAGGAGCACTTCAATAGATAAAATAACGTGACTAAATTCGACACAATATTAAACAGCCGTTTGAATTAAACACGTTATATTTTGGAATTAGGAGCTGTAGCTCAAGGGATAACCACTGATCTTAATAATTTCATAGTAAACCAGCCAATCGAGTTTGATCGTCACCGCACCAGTACTAACGATATATTAAATTGCATTTTTAGGTGGTGAAGGAAAACAGTTAGGAAACCTTATATCCGATAATACAGACATGTGAAGTCTGCCGACCAAATTATTTTCGATTCTTCTTTGCTATAAAACCCTTTAAGAGTACAAAAAGTTCCCATTTATAAATCAGCGTCTGCAGCAGTGCATTGAAGGCCATTAACTCTATATCATAGGAATTGCCGGTAGTTTAACAATCAGATACTGCTCCCCATAAACGCACGTCTTACGTCTGGAAAATTAAGTACCTATCGTTTTTTTTTATTATAGGTTCCCTCTTGTTTAACCCTTTAGTCGTAAATACTACTAACGTCTCTATAGTGGTAGGTTCAGGTGGGCCAAGAATTCTGAATTGGTAATAAAAATGTAAATATGTATATTTTACTGCAAACAATAATATAGTGGAAGTAAGCGGCGATTCGCATGTTTTTCAAAGATGGGGCATCGGTCCAGTGGGCTAGTAGTTACAATTAAGACTTAAGAAATACATACTTTGTAGGCTCCGGAGCCTCCACCTCACTGGGATGGTATTTTCGAGGCGACCCACCGTATCAAGTGTCCTCAGGTAGACGAGGATGGCGTAGAAAACTGTTTAGTAATCAATGTGTTTACCCCGGAGCACGTTACATCGCTGCCAGTAGTCGTTCATGTTCACGACGGAGATTTTCAAAGGGGGTAAGGTACTACACTTTCATAAAATGCTTAATTTTTACGAATTTTTCACTAATTCCGACTGAGCAAACAAAACCACAACGCTCAAATTATAAACACCGTAGTCGCTTTTGTCGCTGGTAATGTTTTGAGTGTTGATCAACTTAATAGGTGATAGAGCCACGCTGGAACTATATTATGGTTGTAGCAGAGCAAACAAAATTACAATGCTACAATTATGGCACTTGGTAATGTATGTTGTAAGGCAAGTGACCACCTTAATACGTGATAGAGTTATTATGTACTTATTATGTTTGTAGCACGAATGTGTCTGCTCGACCCGGGGGAAGGATCACGTTATCGTACAATACCAGCTTGAAATCGCAGCTTAACGCTGTTGTGTTTTGTATGATAAGTGAAATGAACCAGATACCGTAACGAGCGTAACGAGGCATTCCATCTTAGTTTTAGGGATAATGAGATTTACGCGTCTGTAGGTACCTATGGGCCACCATAGCAATTGTTCACCTTCAAGTTAGCATTTAGCCCCGTATTAATGTTTAATTATTAATGAAGAATCTGGTTGCATCATTATACCTTAGGATTATAAGATTAAGACAAAATACCTCGTTGCCAATAAATGGGTTTCAAGTTGTAGATACGTACTGGACGGAACGCGGTGTAATGTGATATATCCTTTCCCGAATAAACTTTTTTTCTTAAGTGAAAACGTTGTGATAATTGAGCGTGCTAGTTACGCATACTATACACAACTTGACATAGATTGCCTCCATACTACGTGTTTAAGTTTACGTTGTAATATTTCAGATGGGGATCATATAGGGCGCCGTCACGTCTTCTTCAGCAAAATTTAATAATTGTGACGTTTAACTACCGCCTTGGAGCTCTTGGATTCCTCTGTCTTGGTTCCGTTGACGCACCAGGGAACGCTGGCTTAAAAGACCAAGTGGCGGCGCTTTACTGGGTTCAAAGAAATATAGAAAAGTTTGGTGGAAACCCTATGGACGTCTCCATTTACGGAACAGGTTCCGGCGCAGTGGCAGTAGAGTTGCTGATGCTATCTGGTTCGACAGTCGGACTCTTTCATCGAGCAATTTTGGAGTCGGGCTCGGCTTTAGCACCGACATCTGTGTCCTATACGCCATTTGTAACTGCCCTAGAAGTCGCATCAACTTTAGGGTATGACGGTGACAGCAAACCGGACGATATAGCGAAATTTTTTCAGCAAGCCCCTTTAAAAAACTTAGTGAACGTTAGCGACATGTTCTTGCCGTGTATCGAGCGAGATTCATCCAGCACTAGCAGCTTATTGGAAATGGACCCAGTCGATATATTAAAGGACGCACATTTTTATCATGTGCCACTCATGATTGCATACACTAACGCGCTTGAAGTAAAAATCATCACGGAGAATATACAAAGATTTAACGTCATACCCAACGATTTTGAAAATTTGCTACCGAGTAACTTGAACTTCGAAAGCGAGGATTACAAACACAAGCTGGCGAAACTTGTCAAGGAGTTTTATTTCGGTGAGAACGAGGTGGGCGACAGTTTGATTCCAAATTACGTCGATTACGTAAACGATATCTTTGTTGAATATCCCGTAATCAAGTCGGCAATACTATATGCAAGAGCTTCTCAGCCAGTATATCTGATGAAGTTTACATACAGAGGTACCGTGAGTAGTGTCAAAGATGAGGAGATACCAGGCGCCGGACACGGTGATATTTTTAGGTACATATTTTCAAATGAGAGATTGAGCGGAGATGAAAGACAAATTGCTGATAGGCTGGTTACGTTGATAACTAACTTCATAAAGTTGGGGTGAGTTGTTCAAAATTACTAATTTTCTATAAAGTGAGTGAATTGCAGATATAACATGTCTCATTGTTAAGCAAGGGTCTACTTTCATTTTTAAGTGTTTTTTGGAAGAAAGGGTGCGGGATGGAGAAAGAGAGGGGGGGGGGAGTGAGAGTCCGCCACGTTGCTCTAATGCATGATAATAGACTTCATAGTTACTTAATATGTATTGCTCGAATGTGCAGGTTTCTGACGATGTTTTCCTTCACCGCTGAACACGTGGTAATTGAGCATTTAAAATCGCAATATTAACAATTTCACTGGTGGCGGCTGGAAACGATCTCGTGTACGTAGAAATTAAGGCGGGTTGCTAACCATTGCTCCTCATAGTTAATCTTCTAATTACAGATAAAGTGACGCAATTTTATAAACTGTCAATCAATATTAGATTCAACTGTTTCTTTCTATGTTACACTTCTTTATCTTATTCTTGAGCCTGTAAACTGCTGTTGAGAAATGGATCTATTCTATCTTAGTGTAGAAAAGACTTGACGCCACGCTTGGCGTTTTTTTTTTCGTTTACAGTCCATCCGATCCTAAGTGGCTACTGCATTCCATGGACGTCTACATCGAACTTCATTTTCCTGATAACAAGTTAAAATAATAAATAATTACATGCAATAAGCGCATGGCGGTTAAGAATACCCACTTCCCCATACCTTCCCGTTGGTGTAGTAAAAGGCGACAGACAGAAACAGACAGGGGATGGGTAGCAGCATCTTCCTGATAACAGCAATAGTACAACAAAACAACTGCGGTTCCTAACCCGCTCGCCAAGCGTGGCAACTATGGCAATATACCCCCCATGAGCAACGATATAAATAAACGGCCCCCAGTCCCCAGCGGCCCCGCTATTCCTGGCTACGGTTGCGACCATGGTAACGGCGGGGCAGGTAGTCCTAAGAATCTCCGGTGGATGTTCGGTTGCCACCTTAGACGACTCGACCTGGAAACATACAAATCACGCACCCTGCGCACTGACTAGAAGATCTTGGAGCTGGAAGAAGAGATAAACAAGTTGCGCTGGAATATTATAGGATTATCCGAGGCCCGAAGAGAGAGGGAGGACACAGTGATTCTCGAATCCGACAACTTGTTCTATCACCGGGAGAGCGATCACATGTCCCAACGAGGTGTTGGATTTATCGTCCACAAGTCTCTCGTTAACAACGTTTTAAAGATTGGGAGTGTATCGACGAGGGTTGCCTACCTTATACTCAGAATCACCAAACGGTATTCGCTGAAACTCGGCACTTTCCGATGAGGAGGTGGAGGAAATATATGAGGACGTTTCTAGAGCCATGCATTCCTCCATAATTATACGGTGTTAATGGGAGAATTCAACGCAAAAGTAGGCACATGAGAGAACGGTGAGCTGAAGGTAGGAAAACTTGGGATAGAACAACGAAACCCAAGGGACCAGCAGCTGGCCGACTTCATGGAGAAACTCTTTATGATGAACTCTTACTTCCAGAAGCGGCCCCACAGAAAGTGAACCTGGTTGAGCCCCGATGGTTCGAAAAAAATTAAATAGACTTCATTATGAGGACTAGACGGCAACTGTTTAGTGATGCCTCCGTGCGCGCAAGGGTGAAAACGCGCAGCGATCACCGAATGGTTAGAGGCACACTGAACCTAAAAGTTAAGTTGGAGTCCCCTCGTTCTCTAATCCAGTCCCGAAACCTTTTAGATCGAGTTACAAAACCGTTTTCGGTGCCCAGAAGACTGCAATGCAGTGGACGATATGAATGACAAGCTCGTGGAAACTGTACATGCGGTCGGAGCTAAGTTCTGCAAGACCCGTCGCAGAACACAAAAACTCTCCGACCACACTCTTAATCCCATGGCTTTTAGACGGGAAATGAAACTGCAGTTTTCAACAATATTGACAGCATATAGGCAACTGAACAGACAGATCTCCAAATACATGCGGCGGGACTTATGCAACTTTATACCGCTCGTATTGAATAAGCGACTAGGGCACAAAGATCTTTGCCAGAGATACGTCTGCCAGGAAGAGACAACTTTCAAAGCTGAAGACCGAGTGTGGCAGCATCGTTTCCGGGACACGTGAGATTTTGAGTGAGATTGAGAGGTTCTATGGGCAGCTGTACACATCATCGTTGGCGTCACACGCAAGTGTGAGTAACGATCCAAGAGCAAGTCTTATCCGACACTATTCCGATGATATCTAGGACTTCAGTCTGAGCGCTCCACCACCTTAAAAACGGTCAGGCCCTAGGCGAGGATGGAAAACGGGTGGAAAAGCGGTACCTAAGGTCTTTCAGAAGCTCTTCAATGCCGTGCTCCATGTTGGCTCTACTCCGGAGGCGTGGAGCAGAAGTGCTGTGGTCTTGTTCTTCAAGAAAGGCGACAACGCTCTCTTGAAGATCTACAGACCGATTTCCCTTCTAAGCCGCGTCTACGTGCTGTTTTCGAGAGTCATTACGAATTCTCTCGGACGCAGACACGACGCCTTCCAGCCTAGCGAAAAACAAGCAGTTTTCGAAAAGGCTTCAGTACTATAGACCACATACAAAACTTGCTGCAGATTGTACAGAAGACCGAAGAGTACAATCTGCCACTTTGCCTTGCGTATGTGGACTATGAAAAAGCCTTTGATTCCGTCGAAATTAGAGCGGTGCTATAGACCCTTCAGCAGTGTCAAGTTGATTGTCAGTATATCGAAGTGCTGAAGTGTCTGTAAAGTAGGGCTACAATACGAGGGCGGCACTGAAAATTTCGGGAATCAAGGAAGTGACACAACATTACTATTTAAAAATGTATTTATTGCTTTTCGAAGTATTCTCCGCGAAATTTGACACATTTTTTATACGATGGAACCAATCATTGTAGCAACCATTCCATTCAGAAGTTGGGGTCTCCAAAATGGCCGTTTTGTAGGCGTCCACAGCTTCTTCAGGTGATGAAAATCTCTGTCCACGCATTTTATTCTTTATTTTAGGGAGGTATAGAAATCATTAGGGCTTAGGTCGGGGCTGTACAGCGGATGGTCTAATAATTCTGTTTTCTTGCTCTAAAAACTCTTTTGTTCTGTGTGCGGTGTGAGAACTCGCATTGTCGTGATGGAAAATGATGCGGCGGTTGCAGTTCTCTTTACGGAGTTCAGAAACGACCTGTGGCAAACAAATGCTAGCATACCATTCTGCATTAACCGTTCTTTGACCCTCAAGAGGAATAGTCGTAACATAGCCGGTTTTGGAGACAAACGTGGCCACCATTTTTTTTTCAACACTCCGTGAACGAACAATTTTTGTTGGCTTTAACTCATTTTCGAACACCCAAACAACTCGTGACTGGTTTTTTGTTTCGGGTTCGTACGCGTATATCCAGGATTCGTCACCTAATACGATGTTGTATACAGCATTTGAGGATCCTGCGTGGAATCTTTCGAGAGTTCTGACGCACCAAGTAACGCGAGCCGCTTTTTGCTCTTCACATAGCGAATGCGGTATTTATCGGGAAAACAACTTTTTTACACCTAATCATGCAAGATTATTTGTATTTGACTCATGCCAATGTCTAGAAAAAAAAAAAGTTGCCTGAATTTCGCGGGATGTTACATGTCGATCTTCCTCAATCAGCTTACGCACAGCATCAACGTTTTCTTGGGTGACTGCAGTTTTTGGACGACCTTGACGGGGATCATCACTGAGCTTGACACGTCCACGTTGAAATTCAGCAAACCAGCGATACATTGGGATTTTGGATGGGGCTTCATCACCAAATGCAGAAATCATCCGGTCAATACACTGTTTTTGTGTTAAACCACTTCGAAAATCATAATAAATCATCGCTCTTGAATTTTCTCGAGTCAATTCCATTTTCTCAACGACTAAACAAGTTTGACAAAACCTTGTGACAAGATCGAGAATCTTTTTTTAAATAAATAAATGGTATTCGATTTTTAAAACCAAGGAGTTTTCAATTAAAAAGATTTTAATATGACAGGAACAGTGGAAATATTCCATTGCCGATACTTTTAGTGCAGCCGAGTAGTTATCCGAGTACAGAACCAAAGTACAAAACCTATCCAACTGCAAGGTGCAAGACAGGGATGAAGTTATATCCCCAAAACTCTTCATCGCTGCATTGGACGACGTTTTCGAGCTACTGGACTGGAAAGGATATGGTATTAACATCAATGGCGATTACATCACTCACCTTCGATTTGCCGACGATATAGACCTAAGCCCTATGCTCAATGACCTCAATAGTGTCTCCCAATGTATAGGTCTTAAGATGAACATGGAAAAAACAAAGGTCACATTAATTTAATGTCTATTTCACATCTATACCGGTAGTTGTTGGGAGTATTAAGCTCGAAGTTTTTGACGAGTACGTTTACCTGGGACAAATAGTTCGACTAGGCAAGTCCATCCATTTTTACCATCCATCAAATGTAATATTCCTCTACAAGATGCAGGTGTGTACAAGTTAGATTGTGAATGTGGTCTCTCTTACATAGGTCAAACAAAGAGATCTATAAAAACCCGCGTGAAGGAACATATAGCTGATGTGAAGCACCGACGCTCCGGGAAGTCTGCAGTCTGCGAACATGTTCAAGATCGTCCCCACCATTACATTAGATTTGATAAACCACAAATTCTCGCAAAAGAACACCGATTCCTACCAAGGATGATACGCGAGGCTATTGAAATTAAAAAACATCCAAATTTCAATAGAGAAGATGGTTGGGTGCTACCATCTGCTTGGGATCCTATAATTAACAAAATTAAACCCAAACCCAAGCATACCACTGCAAGACTTCATGATACTATAAGCTCGTTTTGCGTAAATCGGACCAAAAATTAATATTAAAAAACTGAAGGTAGCCGGACTAACTATGACATTGGGACGTCAAACATCTCAGTCCCCCCCGTGACCATGGGCGCTGTAAAGCACCCGAAACGTCGGGATAATAATAAAAATAAATTAAAGTAATTAAACGCGATAAAATCCGTAAATAATAGTTTTATTCAATGTGTAGTGTTCGCGTAAATTTAAGAAATCATCCAATTAGGCAAGTCCAACTTCGACCGAGAGGTTAATCGACAGATTCAACTTGGCTGGCTTGGAAATTACGACATATCTTCTCGTCAGGTATACCCCAAAATCTGAAAACTAGTTTGTACAACCAGTGCATGTTGCCAGTGATGACTTATGGATCTCAGCCGTGGTGCCTCATTGCTGGCCGTATGAGGACGCTTAAGGTCGCTCAGCGAACTATGGAGAGGGCTATGCTCGGGGCTTCTCTGCATGATAAATTACCGACATAGCCCATCGGATTAGTAAGCTGGTGGCAATGGGCCGGCCATATAGCTCGAAGAATCGACAACCGATGAAGAAAAAAGGTTTTCGAGTGGCAGCCTCGTAAGCCGTAGGGAAGTCGATGGATGTAGGTGGCTTAGAACCATGTATTCCTTTACGGCATTCCTTGGGGGAGGCCTATGTTCAGCAGTGGAACTGTGAAGGGCTGTAATGATGATGATGATGAGCTATGACTACTATGGAAAACAACTCTGGAAAATAGCCGATAGCCCCTATGAGGCAGTCTATGAGAGAGGCTCTGTTTAGCAGTAGATTTAGACTATACAAAATAAAAAAGGAAACTTGAATATTTATTTAAATTCTAATTTTATCATTCTTTTGTGTACATACTTATAAATTAAAAATCAACCCATTCCCTCTAGTAAATTAAATTAAATATGAAATTTATAATAACATCCCATCTAATCCGTTCATGTCTTGTGGGTGTACACATTAATTTTAGCCACTAAAATCCACAAACAATCCCACATCGCGACAAAATTCATGTTCCATCCACACCATCTGGATGTTTGACGATCGACTCTATTGTTCAGTACACTAGGGAGTTTTTTTCGACTTACAATTTTTTCAAGGAATCAGCTACCATTAACAATTTCCGGACCAAATACCACCTTCATGAAAAGAGTCTAAAATTTTTCAAAGGCCGGCAACGGACCTGCGAACACTGTCAAAAGTTGACCGCTCCATAGATTGACTCATGGAAAGCAGATTTGCAGTTTTTTATTACTTAAGTAAGATATTGCTGCCCATATCCCGTTCCAGTACCATCTGTTGCTTCTCACGACACATGCCCCATGTGGCAAGCAACACATGGAGCAGTGCATTCTTTGTATTTTTCTTTATCTAATATTTAGGCTAACTATATATATAACAATATCGGAATTTTTCAAATACTACTTCAAATACTACACCGATATTCAAAAATTTTATTCAGAGAATAAAATGTATGGATGAAAATAATTGAATATAAAATAAAAAAACATACAGTAATAGGCTGTGTGGAGCCAGCACAACCGTACAAACCTGCTGCATTTGTACTTAGGACTCTATATGATTTTGTCCCACTCTCAGTTTCTGCTATTAAGCATATACTAAGCCCACTTTGAGTTCGATTTCATTTTTAATCAACCTTATCCTCATTTCATTTTGTCTGCATATATATTGTTTTATTTATGTCTTCGCTTAAGTTTTTTAGGAACCATATGACATATGATGACATAGTTACATAAAAAATTTCATCTCCTATTTTTTCTTCCAATTCATATGGTACCAACCCTGAAGTTAAATGTTTTTAATACTTTATTTATGAACACATTAATAGCATTTTATAATGCTTCAAATACGGTGAATATTTTTTAGGCAATATCATGAACCAATACTCCAGTTTGGAGGGTAAAAAGCCAGTATAAGCACAGTCTGTGAGGCATTTCATCCAAGAACTCAAGGGTGGTAAAATATCTGGAAACTTCTAGGTTTGAAGTTAGGTATCCCATGGATACCAGTATGGCAGGCAGTACTCTTACTATTAATCAAGTCCTGATGGCTACTTTGTCACACTTATATTATAAAGGAAATATATCAGGAAGCTGATTACTTTAAAATTATTTTTCTTTTGTTTTAGAGACCCAACTCCATTAACAACCAGCCTCATACCAGTGATATGGGAGCCAGTACCCACACCACAGGACTTCGAAGGTAAAATAACAATGGTCCCATATTTGTTATTTGACAGAACATTGGCAAACCAACTCTTACCCGGTCAGCAGCTAATATTTTGGGATCATATATACAGCAAATTCTATAAGAAGCATATGAATGTATGAATATTTAGAAATAAACATAGAATGTATGGTAATGTACAACTTATTTTAAGTTTTTGATGATGATAGAAGGATAGAAATGGATGGTGACACAGTGGTACAGTAGGTGAACGGGGCTTGCATTGTCAAACTAAGGAATTAGCTATAAGTAATTATTAAGTAAGGTTCTAAATATTAAAAAAAATAAGTTGTAGTTTAATTTCCTCACCACTTTATATAATTAAATTGTGATAACCGCTTGACCTAATATTCAGCATCTCACAGTATCTATCAGAATCTGGCTACTATGATGTGGGACTTAGCCTTATATCTTAGCTGGAGCCAATATTGGAGATGTTGGTTTTGGAGAGCAGTTGTGAAGTGATTATGTCAATCAATACATATATCTTTAACACTGATATATTTGTACTAGATTTGATCTTAGCCCAAAGGCCGAGATGTGATAAGCCATGGGTATATACTGCAAACATAACTTATGGTGAGAGACATGAAATAAAATAAATAATGTCTCAGTGAAAATGTTACCATGATCTGAATTACCAAACAACAGTCAGTCGCAAGTGCACGCAAACTGTCACACACTGTTGACGACATTCATGAATTGCAAGAAATATACCAAATTGTGTTCAGTCTCAAATCGGGTATAAGTGTAAGATAATCCAATATTCTCACTATTTAATATTATCAACACAAGAAAGTAACCGTGATATTTCAGTGAGATTTGTGTAACCAGGACAACAATAATTGCAGTGGCAAATTAACAATTTTACGTCGTCAAACTAAATTTTCTGAATTCACTGTCGAGTAACATAACATAAATGTATATTATTATTATTTATATTATTTATGTAGTAGTAACAATGATTAAAATATTTAGTTAATAGTTTGATTTCATATTTCATTTCATTTTAATATATTTATCACATTCTTGAAAATCTAGAATTTTCCAAATAAACGAACATTAAACTAGTTAATTTTATACAATATAAATATTTATAATATAACGTTTTGGCTTTACTTACCATGTATGCTGACAGTACAAGCTCAATAAGCTGTAGTCTTAATTCTATTCTTTATTTGTATGGGGAGTAGCTCTACATTAGAGAAAGATAATAAATTCCTAGTATGTACCCTCTCATTAGGAAGTACTTTCCTTTTATAAGAATTGATAGAGAACTTACATTAAGAAAACTTTTACATTATAAGTTGTAATAAAAGCTTTGCTGTTTCTGCCTTCTAAATAGGGTGACATGTTTAATATACAGGTCTACGGATCCGGATGTTTTTCCTTGTACAATTTATGTTTGTAAACTGCATTCACAATATAGAAGAATATCCTAGTGTGGCAGTAACATTTTTAAAAGAAAAAAAAAGAAAACTACACCTTTTTAGGTTATAATTAAGTCCTTTCTTGTATAATGTAAATGAAAATATTAATATATAGATGAAACATGGCAGGTAAGGGGCTCAATTCAAAAAACATAAAATACAAACAACTAGAGTTTAGTGCACACACACCTTATTAATTAATTAATATTGTGCAATTTACTACATATCATTGAGTTAATGATAGCACTCTTTCTTGCTTCATAGTTATCTACCCTGCGATGGTATATATCAGCTGTTACTTCACCTTATAGAAATAATCCTTTCACAGTCCATCATAACATAACAATTTTGTTTAACCTTCATCAGTAGTAAGACACTTAAATATCCAAATGAACTCTTTATTTTTTAATTAATTGACAAAGAGACTACTGTGTACAAGATGTTCCATGATTTAATATAGTAATGTTTACATAGTTTTCAATATTTACGTATAATTCCCTCACAATAACAAAAATAATACTTAACACAAATTTTATTTGCTAATGTAAATAAACTACATTGTTTACCTTTGTAAGTGTTTTAGAAGGAAATATTTTTGGCTAAAAGCATACATTACTTAGAATATATAGTAGATAACTTAAAGAAAAAGTATAAAAAATGAAATGAATGTTATGAACTAAACTAAGAAAATATACAATAAGCGTTGCCTCAAGATAAAGGTTAAAATCATAACTAAAATTCAATTTTTGTATTTATACAATGTTACCTTTACTTCAATCATAAACACTGTGTCACATGGAAACTATTATGATCAACTGGAAAGACTTAAGCTCAGAAAATTACTATTTAAAATATACTTACGAATGGATCACATATGAAAGTCTAAACTCCTTTTTCCAAACGGCTGTACACAAATACGTTAGCTACGCAATGTAATGTCAATTATCGTGAATCCGTCACATATAAGAGTTATTTATTATGAGAAATTTTAGAAAATCTTAAAAGAGAACTTCATAAATAAACATTATTCTAACAGTTTACGGCATAGAACAATTTCAATTTGGAAATTAATCGTGTTTTAATAACGAATTACGATAGACGTCTAAAACAAAATATACCGTTACCTGGACAATCAGATTCCGGAGCACGTTAACGACGAGTTCAATATGATAAATTCACTTGTAAAAATGTAACATATCTCTCACTGTAGCAGTGCTATAAGTGTTTAGCTTTTTCACATTTAATTTAAGTAATAAAATCAACAAGTTATATGCAAAAAGCAAAACATAAACCACCCGTCACATTTCACTTCACTGACATGACACCATGACAGACATGACATGACGTCAGTTTCGTTCGGAAATTCTGCACAAATCATTAGTAATCTATGGCAGAAACTTTGAACTTGTCGTTCGATTTAACTTTTTTGAATTTTATTCTTCAGTTAAGGGTTAAGATGATGGTATAAATGGATATGTGAACACTAATATCTCTATGTTGATTATTTAACAGAATTCATTATACATTTATTATATATTTATTATACATTCACAATTTATTATACATTTTTTTATTATACATCTAAACGACTGTTAAGATTTTACAGTGGTAGAGCCACGCGGCAGCTTTGCTGTTGCACATATAGGCCGGCTCAAACCGGGGTGGTACCACGACCTTACAGAATACCGGCGTGAAGTGGAAGCTCTGCTTCCGCGTTTCGTCTGGTGAGTGCAGGTGACCGGAGGCTAAAAGTCCCTCCCCCCCATCAACATGGTAGCGGAATTAAATGATAATAGACTACCCCAGGAGGGTACCAGCACACCTGGAGAATCCCTCGCTGAGCATCCACGACCAAGTTACTCCACTCTTGAGCGTGGGTCCTAATGCTGCCCCGCGTATTCTGGGAGGAGGGGGTGGGCAAAACTCCGCTCAAGACTACAACTGCTCGGGACAAACGGCGCAACAAGATCAAAGCGATCCCTGCCACGCTACCCGTCAATTTTTGCAATATCAGGGGACTTCACTCTAACCTAAACGCCGTCCACTAGCATCTTGAGACGGCGAGGCCGGCTCTGCTCTTTCTGACCGAGACGCAGGTGTCCTCTCCGGCTGATGTCTCGTATCTCTCCTACCCAGGGTACAAACTGGAACACTCCTTTGTGCCACGGGCTGGAGTTTGCGTTTACGTCAGAGAGGATATCTGTTCTCGACGCCTCGACAGACTTGAAGGTTTGGACCTGTCCATCCTTTGGCTACGCGTAGACAGCGACGACCATCCGCGCGTCTACGAGTGCCTCTATAGGTCCCATAGCGGTAATTCCGAAACAGACCGACTCTTCGACCACATCCAAATTGCTACAGATTTGTTGCTACTGCAGATCCCCACCGCAGAGATCGTGATCCTCGGCGACTTTAACGCCCATCACGCCGTATGGCTTGGTTCATGCTTAACCGATCGGTTTGCGGGGAGATCTGTTCATGATTTTGCCTTGGCATATGGTCTGACAACTGGTTACTTCGCCTACGCGGATTACAGATGTGGAGGATCATGCACCTTCCCTGTTGGATCTTCTGCTGACCTCTCACCCGGACGAATATCAGATTCCTGTCGACGCGCCTTTAGGCTCCTCGGACCATTGTCGTGTTCGGAGTGTGGTGCCACTCACGCTGAAATTGCAGTTGCATTCTGCAGGCTACCGCCGTGTTTGGCACTATAGGTCAGCCGATTAGGATGAGATGCGGTCTTTTTTGCATCCTACCCTTGGGGTTTGCTTCTCGCCGGAAGATCCCAACGTTGTTGCGGATTCTATCGCTGATGTGGTACTTCAGTGTATGGAACTTTTTATTCCTTCCTCTGTGGTGCCCATTGGAGGCAAATCTTAGCCATGGTTTGGTCGTTCCTGTAAAATAGCATCATGCTATAAGGAGGAGTGCTACCAAGCCTGGGCTGATGCATCAACGTCCCGGGCTGTAAACACCAGCGCTCTAAAAAGAAGTATAATTCCGCCTCTAGGTCCTTCAAAAGAGTCATTGCCAAGGCAAAGTCAGAGCACATAGGCAGAATTGGCGAGAAACTAGTTCGCCTTCCTTCTGGAAGACCAGAATGCACGGGCATTCTGGTCTCTCGCCAAGGCTATCCAGGGGAATTTCTATCAGCCATCTCTTCCATCTCTGCACAGGGCGGACGACTCACTGGCCCATACCGCAAAGGAGAAACCTGAGCCTTTCAATGACGGGGGGAGTACGCCGCCGACCATCCCGCGGTGTGAGTGCTCCATGCCGGAAGTGCAGTTTACACAGCGCTCGGTTCGCAAAGCACTCCTCTCCCTGGACATCTACAAGTCGGGTGGGCCTGACGGAATCCCCCCAATAGTGCTGAGGACGTGTGCTCCAGAGTTGGCACCGGTTTTAACGCATCTTTTCCGGTACTCCTACTCCCTAGGCGTAGTCCCAAAATCATGGAAGATGGCTTTCGTCCACCCGATCCCTAAAAAAGGCGACCACTCAGAACCGTCCAACTATCAGCCTATCGCCTTCACCTCCTTGTTCTCCAAAATAATGGAGTCTATTGTTAACTGCCAGCTCATGAGGTACCTTGAGGATCACCAGCTGATTGGTGACCGCCAATACGGTTTTCACCGTGGTCGGTCAGCTGGTGATCTTCTGGTCTACCT